GGGCAGGAAAACATGTAAAGAGATAATAGCAAAACTTTCCCAAATTTGGGGGAAACTGTCAGTTTACAGACCCAAGAAGCCCAATGAACCCTAAGCCAAATAAATACAAGCAAAACCCTCAGGTACATAATAACCGAGCTACTGAAAACCAACAATGAAAAGAACAGTGTCTGTAAAGGGACCTAGGAGCTATCAATCCATCTGAACATGTATGTGCACCTGACCGATTCAAACAAACAGTAATAACAAACACAAAGTTTAAGATACCGAAATAAACTTGAACATTGGATATTTGATGTTAAAATATTCTTGTTAACTGCTGAATGTACCTACCATAGTTATTTTTTGAAGGTTTGTTTTTTAAAAGAGACATATTTTAAATATATATACTTACACATGAAATAAACGCCAAGATATGCTTCAGAATTACATGGAGGAGGGTTACAGATGAAACAATACCGACTACGGACTGATAATTACTGACACAGGATGATGGGCACACGGGGACTCACTGCATTATTCTGTTTATTTCTGTAATATTAAATTTTTTTCCATAAAAAGCTTTTAGAAAGCAGGGCAAAGGAGAAAGAAATAGAAAGGAAGAGGGGACCAAAAACTGGTCGAGGAGGGTGAACGTCCGAGTGACGAGACTTCCAATGTGGGACAGAAATACAGGGAGACCTACAGAAAAGTGTTAAAAAGTTCCCGGAACGGAAGGCCACGAGCTCCCACTGTGAAGGGGCCCACTGAGCACGTGCCACAGTGAGTGACGTGCGGCACACGCCGAGGTGCCCCGCCAGGTCCCCGCAGCCCTGGACGAGACAGGAAGGGCTGGTCGTACAAGCTTTCACTCAGGAAGAGCACAGCACAGAAAAATGGCTCGGACCAGAAGAAAACTAATTTCTAACCTAGAATATTAGACAGAAACCATGAAATAAGTAGGAAGATAAAGAAGTTTTTTACAACATGTGAAGTGTCGAAAACTTTATACCTGTTCTCAGGAAGCAACTGGAGGATGTTTTTCATCAAGATGAGGGAGTAAACCAAGGAAAAAAACCACAGCTAGAGACTGAGCACGGGAGAGGGGTGCAGGGATGGATCCCCAGAGAGGTGACGAAGGGGGAGCCCAGGATGAAGGGCTGTGTCAGCTGTTCGAGGAAAGAGGCCTGGACGGGAGCGGGTCAAGGGGCCACAGAGGAGGGGCCAAGAAAGGACAACTGACAGGCATTTCAAAGGGTCTGACCTCAACGGAATTTGGACTTAATTACAGCTAAAAACACAGAAAATTAGGCAAAGAAAGAGAGACTAGTATTAACTAGTAAATACTCGATTACTCACAAAACGTTTTACAAAGGAAAATAATCATACTTTAGTACCTGTAGCTCAGCTCTTAAGAGCATATAAAGTCATAATAATGTAACCATCGAACACCGAGTAAAGCAGATTCTAAGGCAGCTGTATCAGGAAAGAGGGTAGGAAATACCCAAGCAAATGATGGCAGTGACCGGCGATGCAGAGGACACCTAAGATGACAACACCCAGAAGGCGCAACACACGCACGGTATTGAGAGAGAGATAAATGTAAAACATACCGAGTAAAAGAGGCGCGAGAGACCGACCGTGGAAGGAAATACTGGGAACCATGTTGCGGAGAGAAAGGTGGGCTCTGGGTTTTTCTTGAGTACAGAACTAGTTGACTCTTTAAACTGCTTTATAGCCCTAATAAAACTAAAACTCGAAAGCATGGTGCTGTAAATGTCCTCCTCAGAGTTTGCAGCCTGGGTGGAAAAAGAGAGGGATCGAGCAGCACCAGTGGGCAGCCAGGACAGTGCCACACCACCCGGGGACGCAGTCAGTGACACCCCAGGGACTGTGCATGCTGCCAGGTGGCACTAGACTTTTCAGGAGTCACCTCGAAAATTACGTCTAACCACTGTGCTGTCAAACGAAACCGAACAATGAAGACGACACAGCCCGGGGAGGGGAGGCCGAGCGGCTGCACGAAGTCCAGAGAACGCAGGCCAGTGGTCAGTCCACCTCGTGTGGACACCGATGTGGAGGGGCAGCCGCTGGACAGGCAGACGTGTACTTGGGGAAAGTTTCTAAGCAACCAGCACAATCAAAATGATAAAAGGAAAACATGAGAGTTTCGGAGTCGGAGGAAACTCTAAATTTAGACATAATTCAAAAAAGGGTTTTGTCTCATTTTAACAGAAGTAATCAACTCCTTTTTTAGGAAGTAGAGCATGTGACATAAATAAAGTCAAGAGAAGCTCCCGATGGTGCAAGCTTTACCCCGTGTGATATTCACGACTTGCATCCACAGAATCCTCTTTCACACCGCGGACACGGGAGCAGTGCCTTTTAACCCTTCAGCCGTGTTTCCCGCGGCCCGGACGACCAGCCAATACGCAGCCCGACCGGCCCCTGAATCCCAAGTGTCTGCGCTGTCACACGACAGCTCCAGCAGGGGCTCCATTTACTCGCCCCTACACACTGGTATGAAATTAGCCGAAACACAGTGCATCCAGAATTTCACTTCCTCCACCCTGGATCTTTTCCCTCCATGAGCTCTTAAATTTAAACATTATACGTAAATATAATGCTTAAATGCCAATCAACCTTAATCTGGCTTTACCTGGATCTAAGACTTGACTCCTTTTATTCGCACAGGGACAGTGGCCAGGCGGGAGCAGAAATCCAGCGACCCGCTGCTGCGCCAGTCAGCAGCTTCAGCTTCCACCAGCCGACGCGAGACAGAGCTGCTCACAGGGGCAAAGGTCTCTCTCCAGAAGTTTTTGCTTATCTTTGCCCCTGGGAATTGCCCGTTAAAGGGAAAACAGCCATAATTACAATGTCCCTGGAAGGAAGGCACCGTGAACGCAGCAGTGAGAACAGATGAGAAATTTCTCCCACAGAAGCCGATACGCTTTATTACATTCCACTCCGATGGAAAACGTTTAAGTTTGCTTTTTATAATGGCAGGACTGTAAAAACAAAAACTTTTGAGGGAGGAGTTTGGACGATAAGATTCAATGTCTATTATTAAGGTTTCTACTCAAGATGTTCACTTCACTGAATATGAAATAGAAATGCAAATAGGTAAGTAAACTGACATTCATTTATTTACTGTTTCTTTTTTGTTTTTAAAGATTTTATCTATTTTAAAGAGAAGGGAAGAGGAGAAAGGGAGAGAAACATCCATGTGTGGTTGCCTCTCGCACGCCCCCTAGTGGGGACCTGGCCTGCATCCCAGGCATGTGCTCTGATTGGGAATCGAACCAGCAATCCTTTGGTTCACAGGCTGGTGCTCAATCCACTGAGCAACACTAGCCAGGGCTGTTTCTTTTTCTAAGAGCAAAAATTTGCCCTGGTTTCTGTGACCCAAATTCCATTTCCTATTCCTAAAGTAAAGCATCTTGCGCTCCTGCTGACTGTCCTCAAATATGAGGGCTGAGGCTCTCTGGCCAGCAGGAGGTTACACGTCAATGAAAAGGGAGCAGGTGCGGATGTGGGTGAGTTACTTCCTTCCGGGTTCCGTGCTGGAAGAGCCCCTCAACACGTCACTGCCATCCCAGTGACGGCCCATTCCCTCTGCACAGTAACCCGGTGTGTTCTTCTGGCCTGAGCCACGCCGACTGCGACTCACTCATCTGCACGCTAGGTCGGCACACCCTCTGCTGAAAGGAGGCCGTGGCCCACCGCGGCAGCCAGGCGCTCCGTACGGGGCTGTCCAACCAACGCGAAGCGCTGATTTCACCTCCCACAACCTGACCGCGGACGTGCCCCCATCGGCACTAGAACCTCAAACTGGCACTTCCAGAAGAGTAAGCGATGCAGCCTCACCTGTCTTGACTGGAACGTGAAAGGTGGGTATTTTTCTGTAGTCACAGTCTCATTCGGACCACCCTATCATCTCACGTTCTCGGGAGGGTGGGAACATCGACCCCTCTGCTGTGTCCTCAGACCGACCCTCACGGCGTGTCTTTCAGCCTCTGAGAGACGGTGGCGCAAGACGGCAGCCGCCCCGGGTTCAGACACTTTATTCAAAAATCGAAAATGCAGCCTTAAAATAGAACGTGCAAGTAAATATACAGAAACACCCCCCCACCACGGCTTGCAACAAAAATTAGCAGGGATGGTGTTCATGGTTCTGATGGAGGGAGGACCCGAGAGCCCCACCAGTGCCTGCAAGGCGGCGAAATGCGCCGAGCACCCGGCCGCCCCGCAGAAGCTCCGGCGCCGGTGACGTCTGAGGAACAGCGAGCCACCCTAAGCCCAGCGCGGCGGCAACAACCGAACGGAACCACAGCCCCACCCCGTGCCTCCCCCACCGGGTTTGAGCAGCTTCCCTTTCCACAGCAGTACACGTTCCAGATGCACGCACGGACCGCAAAGTACTGCAGAGGAGCGAGCAGAGACAATGTACCTTAAGATGCTGTGAGTGACACGGACGGCTCTGTCCATCTGAGTAAGCTGTGCTGCTACAGCCACCACCCACCCAACTTCCGGGGCTCAGGTCCGTACCAACACCCTCCAGGAGCTCACTGCCCTGTCTTCACTCTGAACGATACAGAACTTTCAAGGTTAAGAGGGTCCTGGAGACCTGACCGAGTTCTGAGCGCCTTGAAGACTCTGCCGCGCGGACCACAAACGCGCGTGGACGGCGGCGGGTGTCCGAACCCGGGTGACCTAGCGACACAGGGCCTTGCGTCGAAGGTTGGCTCCCTGTGAGCATCTGCTGAAGCCCATTTTTATGTAAGTGACATTCAAATTACTACGTAAGTTTAAGGGAAAAAAATTTGTAAAAAAGACTTAAAAAGTTTCTAAATGTTTGAGTAAAAAAACGAATAACTTTCTATGTCAATGCATGGCTTTTAAAAAAATACATAAAGCACTCCGCCACAGAATTACTGTAAATCCAATCTCACGTTTTATACATAAGTAACATAAAGCTGGCAGGGCACCAACTCGCCCCCGCGTGCGGCAGACACTCTAACCTGCAGGTTGTTCAGAGGCTCCATCTTCATGACGGGGCCCAGCGTGTTGAGGGGCAGGGGGACGTCGATGCTCTGGTTCGGCATCAGCGGCGTGTGGATGGCCAGAGGTGTGCTGGGGATGACGCCGAAGCTGCAAGAGAGGAGGACGGATTCCACACGTCAATCGGGCGCAGGATTTCACCTGCACGGAAGCACTGCTGGGCTTCAGTGGCTTTGATCCCACTTGAAGGAACAATTTTTTTGCTACTATTAAATGAAGCGACAGAAGGACCTAAGGTGCTCCACTGTAACTAACTATAATGCTGCTTACAACGTAACTTCTCTTGTCCATCAGATAAATTTGAAGAAAGAGAAATCAGCACAGAATCACGTCTATAGTGCTCTGATTCTAAAAGTTTATCACACCAGGAGGGACAGATATGATAAGTATCTTAATACTCTAAGTACAGCAAAAAGTAACTGATTGGCTTAAACATTCCAAATGATGACTAGGACGGGTTGTAGTTCCAAATCCAGTCACTTGCTAAGCCCGAGGCAGACAGTGAGTGCGGTGCCGTCAGTCTGACTTCTCAGCAAGGCCGGTCCAATGATACAGGAATAGTGAGGGCTTCCGGCCAGGGCAGTGGTGCAGGCAGACATGGCTCGCCTCTTTGCACAACCACATCAAAATCACAACTAGCCTTGGCCGACGAGGCTCAGTGGACTGGGTGCAGGCCTGCAAACCAGGGGGCTGCCCGTTCGATTCCGGGTCAGGGCACAAGCCCGTGCTGTGGACCAGGTTCCCAGTGGGGGTCACCTGAGAGGCAACCACACACGATGTTTCTGTCCCTCTCTTTCTCCCTCCCTACTCCTCTCTAAAAATAAATACATAAAATCTTTAAGACAAAGATTATAACTAAAATACAGAACAACCCTCACTCAGAACCATCAGAAATGGAGTTGAATGAAGTCTGACAACTACAGAATTAAAGAAACCAGATCCATCCAGATTGGTAGGAGGGGTGGAGACATGGAATGGGCTGGTCTCACTCATGAGTGGTAGATAAAGATTCAGGAGGGTTATCTCCCGAGTGAGGAGTCCCAGCCTCATACCAGGCCCCCCAGCCCAGGGTTCCCATGCCAGGGGGATAAGCCCCTACAACTTCTGGCTTCAAAAACCAGTGGGGATTGAGATGGTGGAAGAAACTTCTGGAGCCCTAAGCAGTTCCTCTTAGAGAACCCACACACGAACTCACCTACTCAGATTGACTCCCTCTGAGCTCCAGCACTGGGGCAGTGGCTTAGAAGGCACCAGTGGCATAAAGGGAGGAACTGAAGTGTCTGGCATCTGGGTGAGCAGAGGCCACTGTCCCTGTGCTAAAGCCACCCCCTCGAGGCCAGCAAGCTGACACCATATCTGAGACTCCATCAACCCAGCTGACACTGTTCGACCTGCCTAGGAGATGTAGCCGTATCTTACAGGACAGAAACTTAAGAATAAATGCCAGGGACAGAGCAGGAGGGAGCAGCAGACCTGCGGTGTAGCGAGCGCACAAATGCAGGCGCAGAGCTCATCTAGGTAGCATCTCCTTCAAGAATCGGAGACGGCAGAAGACACATTCTCCTTTTCCTAGAAAAACTACACTTCAATGCGCCAAGGTGTAATAATGAAATGACCCCACGAACACACATCGCTCATTGTGACCCAACATTTGTACGTGAAAACCATTTGCTCTGCTGATGTTGCTCTCACGGCCGCCAAACCCCGCCAGGAGTCCCTGCTGGCACGGAGCCACAGCAGCAGCTCAGTCCTGGATCTTCCGACTGCTCCTCTGGGAAGGAACATGAAGGAAACAAAGGAGGAAAAAATGCCCTGTAAATCTACAACTGTCCCTTCTGCAAAACTACGAGTCAGAGAAAGTCTGCAGGCTCCACAGGACACTGAAGTGTGGCTTCGCCAGGAGATGAGCAGGACGAGGAGAGAAGCCCCGCAGGTGCGGCCGGGAGGCCGGGGGTCTCCGGGGACACTGGTGGCGGCAGCTCAGAGACTGATGGGACGGCAGATCTCCACTCTCAGAAGGGAGCCCACCCCTCGTGTCCGGTGCTGTGAGCAGGACTGAGACCAGCAGGGGACAACGCACAGGCGAAGAGAGGAAAGGAGATGGAAAGTCCCTGGGGGGCTTGGAGGTGACAACAGCTCAAAAAGCAGCACCTTCCAAAGGGAAAACGAACACCCAGGGGACAGGGCTGTGTCCCCCCAACAAGCACATTCCAGGGAGGACTGGCTGCGACCCGTCAGCATCCAGGTATCCAGAACACCTGGATAACTCTGGGCAGCCGGACAGAGTGACCAAATCACTCACATGGAGGGAAGGAATGGGGCTGGCAGCTGACTTTTCCACAAGAACATTCAATGACAAGAGAGACTGGAGTAAAAAAAGAGTTCGAGTCAAGGATTTTCACACAGAAAGGTCGCACGCAGTTGTGAGCCTGTGAGGCTTCAAGGGTTACTGTCTACATGGCCTTGTGTGGGTCCTCACACCCTTTCTGAGCATCTGGTAAAAGACACCCCCGAAAGGACAGTGGGAAAGAACTACAAAAGGACTGGAAATAGACAAAAAATCCAAGACAAACAAAAGGTGCAAGAACAAAATGTAGAAATGAAACAATTTACAAAAATGAGAGCAACAGGGAGCAAGTTGGCCTCATCTGTCATCGCCAGGGGTCAAAGGGGACAAGCCAAGTGGAGAAGTGCAGGCATACTGAAGAGCACCAAGAAAAGGTGAACCCAAAGAAAAACAGTCCTAGCAACACTGGGTAATGGAGAGAACAGAAGATATAAATTACAGCAGGAAATCAACAGACTGCCTATTGAAAGCAGGGACTATGAGTATTTCATAAAGAAAAACTATACCTATCAGAACAAAAAATACAAACTTTTCTAAGTGCTAAAACACCACAAAAAGCAAAGGCTGCCACACAGAAGTGTGAAGGTGGGCCACGCAGGCTGCCTGAGCCATAAAGCGTCTCCGGACCGCCCTGGCCTCTCACGGGGCAGCTCCCTTCAAAGTGGCTGGAAATATAACTGGTGACGGAAGAAAACAGATTTTCTAGATCCTTCAGGGACCTCTAACGTGCCAAACCTTCAAATCCAGTTATTTTCAAATGACGACCGATAAGACAGTCACCGATGTAAGTTGTTACTGACAAACCTTATTAAATCGATTGCAGGGTCCAATCACTACTTTGTTAGAAACAAGTTCGAATTCCCTCATATTCATGAAAAGAACCTGCCATCCAAGTCTACAGTTGGTTTCCTGAGCCACGATGAATGGAAGCCAGCGACGCCTTGGAAGCCCAGGACGTCAGCGCCTCCCTCCCTCCGGGCCCCTCACTAGAGCACAGGAGCCGTGGCCAGAGGCAGGCTGGCAGCCATGTGCTCGCTCACCCAACCGGGTGTCTTCTGCATTCATGTCATCGACCAAAGTCTATTCATTTTTTCCACCAAAATGACAGCTTCAGATACACATGTGTTTTTTACTACTCCAGTCTCGGTGCCTGAAAATGCCTGGCACACAGATGCTGAACAATTATTTCTTGAATGAGTAAATAGACTGCAATTTGAAAGTTTTAAATGAACTGTTTCAGTAAAAACATTCTGGTCCCAGGACGCTTTAAGAAGGCATTAAGCTGAGGTCTCCTCATTCCAACAGGAACGAGACCCTCAGCCTGCAGCTGCCAGTGGAAGGGGCGTGCGGGAGCCGCGTGCACTCTGCGCCCAGCACCTGCAGACAGGAGGACTCCCCCCACTGCAGACGGACACTCTCTGGTCGGGCACAGGGTGCACATCCCCTTCTCGGACCCACTGGGACGCCGGTCTCTCACCTGTTCTTGTTGAACTGGATCGCGAAGTCAGTCATGTGCTGCAACGCTTTGTTGGTGAAGCTCATCTCCATGTAGATGTGCCCCTGGCGGTGGGTGAACGTCCCGCAGATCTCCAGGCCTTTAGCCTTTACCGCAGGCAGCCAGACCTGAAAGGCAGCGCATAGCCCGATGGAGCCAGGCAAGATTTGCCTCCATGCTAGTTGTCTTTGAATAAAGATAAAATTTCAGTTCCTTAAGGCAATTATGGTGATTTTGTTAGCGGCTTTGGTAAAAGGCTTAAAAGGGAAGAAACTGGATTTACTGATGAAAATACAGGCCTGTAATCTTTGAGGGCTTTCTTGCCAAGACAAAACTATACTCAACAACCTCCTCAAGGGCACGGCCTATGTCTAACGGACATTTGTAACTCTTGCTGTGGTTTCCAGCAAGCAGTAAATAAGCACTTGGGTGCTGCTTTAAGTAATCTCACTACCTGCTTTGTCTATACAACTCATTCATCACCCACCCCCGGCCCCTGAACCTCAGTCAATCTACTGCCCTTAGTTCGCCCCGTGAGTCCCCCTGCGAGCACCACCGCAGACAGGGCCGAGGCCGACACGGCGCCCAGACACAGACCTGACAGCTACACCGACTGGAGCCGGCAGGCCAGCATCCTCACCTGACATCCACGGAGCAGGGGGATGGAGGGAAATAAAAGCGCTCCTTCTCTGCACTGTATTTTCTCTCGCGGCTGCACTGCACATCAAATTCACACTCAACTGGCTTCAGTGTTGACAAACTGGACAACACTTCTCAACATGAGAACAAAACTCAAACACTCAGCACTGCCAACTCTAAGTCTTGCTCTAACAATGGTTAACAAAGACGGCCCAGTGCGTCCTACTGCTGTGCTCGAGGACGTCTCTGAACCCTCTGAAACGAGGGGTCAGACCTCGAGCTGGTGATCAGTGAAAGGAGCGCACACGCGAGAAGCCAGGCAGTCTGGGTCCCGCGCATTGAGAAAGAGCCGCTCTACTCACAGCCTTCGGAGCCACGTGTCCGCCGGGCGCCATGCCCATCCCCGTGGAGAGTTCGAACAGGTCGTTCAGGCCGCTGCTGACCACGGCGGGGGTGGGGGAGGGAGCGAAGGCTGCGGGCACCGAGGAGGGGATGAAGGACTGTCCCACCTGCGGGAAACGTGGGGGTGGGGGAGTCAGGGAGAACAGATTAACAGTCCTCAGGATAGTTGTACATGTTTCAGAAGTACTGACAAGCCAGTGAGAACACACCACAGTTATACTACTATAGGCACTGAATTAATGTATTTGTCCTTTTAATCATCATCGACACTAAATACTATATCCAAGTTCTATCAAGAGAGTAATCAGGATTAGGAACACAGTAATCCAAGGGGTTTAATTTGTTTCCAATTTTAGCTTCCATGATTCTGTGCAAAAGGCCTACAAGCACCTGAGGACGAGCACCTGAGGGCGGGAAGTGTGCGTCCAGGGCACGAAGGAGGGGCCTCCCCAGACAGCAGCTCCACCCCACTCGGCTCGGGCCGTCCCCACTGGGCACGAATACCTAGTAGGAAACTCTCCTGGGGAGAAGGACAGACACGCTCCCGAACTAACTTACACGGAGAGTCTCACTCTGAGTCCAACAACTGGTTATGCCAAGTTTTTTAGACGACGCCAGAGAACAAAGGCATTCTCCAGTCACGATGGGAAGTTCCACCTAGCTCTTCGGTGTCAGGAAAACTAGGCTCATCATACACACCAGAGCGCCAGTCCATAGAGATGCCCCCACACCACACGTGGTGCATGACCCCAGAGGTTCCGAGTGGCCCTACGCTGCTTTGTACTATTCGTCACTGCTCTAGCCGTGTTCTGGTGGGCAGCGCTATGGACAGCGGCGGCGGCTAGTCTGAGAATGTGCGCACAGGAAAGGCATCAAACAGGGGCAGCGCATCCCGTGGTAAAAAAAACGGATGGCACTTACTGCCGGACTTCCTCCAATGCCCCCGCCAAGGTCACTGCCAAGCTGAAAGAGAGAAAGGAGAGAGAGGAGAGAGAGGTAGAGTTCATTTAACTAAGTACTAGAAGACCATGCAGAATCTGCAAATTGCTCTACCAAGTTGCTGGGAATTCATGCTATGCAACTTGTCTCCCACAGCTGAAAGAAATTCTAGACTGCAAAGAAACACTTCCCACGGGAACCAAGCAGTGGCAGTGATGGTGTGTGGGAGTTCTGAGAAAACTTGGAGCAAAGGTGGGGCGGGGACACCTCAGGGCTGTTTCGATCCAATCTTTCCACTGGGGTACACAAGCACAAACCCAAACAGAATTTAAGAATTTTCATATTCCAAGAAGCTCTACCTTTAAGCTGTTGTAATTTGCATATAGTTTATTACTCTAAAAGAAAATTTAAGGGAGAAAAAAGAAAAGCAAAGAAAACTAAAACGTACTTTGATCTACAAGACCTGCTGTCCCACTGAGAAAGAGGGGACCAAACCTGTGCTGAATGACAAGTTTAAGCTTCAAAAGTCACAGGTAGAATGAGAGTGATTTTTAGAGTTTAGAACTTTCCTAAGAAAGAAAACAGCTGGGACAGGAAGACATCTTACCTCGGGGGAGCTGGGAGAGGTGTGGGAAGGCACGTGATGATTTAAGTCTGTCTGTCTTGCAGTCAGTACTACCAAGGAGAAACACTGTGATTTGTTTGGAGTAGACCACTTTAAAGGACGCTAACTACTGGAGAATCAGCCTAATTTAAGATCAGCCAGGTGACAGGAGAGTAACCCCACATGGTCTTAGTTGTGGCTTTGTCCCCTTAGGGCTCTTATGCCTAATTCACCCTGAAGTCGGTCTTCCACGGAGGCCTGGAGCCAAAACGAGCTGGCATGACGGAGTAGGGAACACACACACACAATTAATGGTGCTGTTTAAAAAGCAAAAAACACCCCTTTTTTTTGCCATAGTTCCACCTCTGCTTCCTCCTTAGTTCTCAGCGTGCATCTAAAAATCCCTCTTCAAACCACCAAATGCCTGTATCTGCTGACCAAACAATGTCCCCGCTGTTGTCTGTCACTTAGTGGTGGACACGTGGACGTCTCTACGCTCTGGTCATGCTAAAAAGTAAAACTGTGTGCTCTTCAGGGTTTGGGAAAGAGGGTTTATCTTCTCAGTGAACAGATACAGAAAATGAGGTGGCCAGAACCTAAAAATAACCTATACTGAAAAATATTACCGCCTGACAAATTTCTGTTTCCACCAGGACAGAAAATTGCCCCAGGCAGGTGCTTCCAACCGGCATCGATCAGCACACTCCGCACGGAGCCCACCGAGCCTCTGCAGAACCTGGTGCCTGGAGACTCCCTGACAGTGAGACGGGGGCCAGAGATGATGTGCATAAATAAATAAGAGGGTCATCACAAAGAACAATCTGAATAATTGGAAGAGTATAAAAGCAAAGGAAGAAATCACACACCTGCTTTCTCCCTGGCTCTACAGCAGCAGCACGTACCTACAATACGACATCTCAAAAGCACGAGTCCCTTCTATGCAAACGGACACTGGTACAGTGCCTCCCGGGGTACAGGGCACTACTGGAAAGGCACTGAGAGGAACACACACGTGAATAAAACCCAGGCTCTGCCCACTGGCAGGAGAAATAAAACACAAACACAAGGTCATAGAGAACATACTAAAGCAAAAGAGGGGAGTTGTGAAGGGACGAGCCTCCTTCTGGCTCAAAATAATGAAAGGAAGCTTCAAAAAGGTAGCAGTGTGGGATTATAAAAAGCAAAAACAGGGGGTTATTTCTCAAGTAGCATGAACAAAGGCTAAAAAACAAATTCCCCCAAATAGCCCTGGCTGGTGTAGCTCAGTGGATTGAGTGCTGGCCTGTGAATCAAAGGGCCACTGGTTCGATTCCCAGTCAGGGCACATGCCTAGGATGTGGGCCAGGTCTCCAGTAGGGGGCACATGAGAAACCACCACTCACTGATGTCTCTCTCCCTCCCTTTCTCTCTTCCCTTCCCCTCTCTCTAAAAATGAATAAATAAAATCTTTTAAAAAAGAAAAAGACAAAACCAATAAAAGCACAATCAAGAAGGAATGCAGTTCAATTAAACCAGAGCGCAGGAGAGCTATGTGGGGGGGGGGGAGGGAAAGTCGTTGCAAATGAGGCTGCAAAGGCAGGCTGCTTACGGAGCCGTCTTCGGGTTTTAATTTTTCCTTCATATAAACCTGATGTTTCTTAGGTTAAAATTCAAGCTTTCTAAGAACACTAATAACTCCTTCAACTGTGTGTCATTAACTATGGTTTTCAACTTCATATACCCAATGCAACCAAACACCTGCACTTCTTGGGGGGGCGGAGGAGGAGTCAGGAATTAAAGAACAGTGGCGCCGGGTCTTGCCCCAGGGACCGTGGCTATGAGGCTCCGGCTGCAGCCAGGCACCGAGACTCTGAACAGCTCCCTAGTCCTCCTCAGGCACAGACAAGGCTGAAAACAGTACCTCAGAGAATGAACTACTATTTCAGCTCAAGATTCACCTGTTCAGAAATGACTTTGGAGCTAACTCTTAAATAAAAACGAAGTTAGATCCTGGCTGGCATGGCTCAGTGGAAGGAGCGCCAGCCTGTGAACTGCAAGGTCGCTGGTTCAGGGCGTGCGAGAGGCAGGTGATTGACACGGCTCTCACTTATCAGTGTTTCTCTCCCTCTTTCTTCCCTTCCCCTCCTTCTCTCTAAGAATAAATTAATAAAATCTTAAAAAAATGAAGTTAGAACTTGAGGAAAAGGACAAACCCTTTCTAAGGAAGAGGAGAATGCGGAACGTCTCATTTGCCCTGACACTGTGGTCTGGTTTCAGGACTTTTGGATGGGCTCACCCCTCCCTTATCCCCAACAAGCACTGCCCTCCTTTTTGGCTAGGCTCACCACCCAAACTGGAAAGGGGCAGAATGCTTAGGGACCTAGCTGGCACTCGTTGGCAAGAAAGAAAACACATGCTGGAAGCGAAATAGCAGTTTTCCTCAAAATGTTAACTTCAATAAAAGATCTTGAGAAAAGGCCCTCACTGGTGATGTTGAGGCCAAAAGAAATGAAGCCCAATTACAACCCTTATTTTCTCAGTCATCATTCTTACTATCTGTATTATATAAACATTACCCTAGCTGGAAAAGATTTGCATGTATTCTCCCCTATACATGTCGTGCTGCTTACCAATTTAATTTAAAACCAAGGAAGAAACTGAAAAGAAACCCTGGTACGCATTTACGTGTAGCAGACACAGCTCAGCGAGAACCAGGAGCTCTGGTCTTCCAAGACAGGATCATCCAAGGGCCATTAGAGACACGTAGCCAGAAATATAAAGGTTTGCCTAATCACACTATGTCCAGAGAGCTGAGGGAAAGCAACATTTCAGGGTTTTCTAACTGGCAGAACGGAAGCTTTTTCAAAAGCTCTGTTCCTCCTGACTGAAGAGTCTGAGGAAGGTTATTATCCTCCCCTCTGCAAAAGGACAAAGATGGCATCACTCACAGTGATGGCATGAGTGACTAACAGGGAGATGTCAGCGAGGATTGAAAGCCAATTACCCAGTGAGTGGCTTCTCCTAATCTACGGTGACAAGCAGAATGATGCAGATATTAATCAAGAGGAAAAAAGGAAAAGAAAAACTAGAAAGCTGAACAAAATCCAGGCAAGTTTCATGTAACCTGAACCAGCTACTACTAACCATTTCAGTCAGCTGCTGGCACTACCTGGAGTCCGACCAGACTTACCTGTTTGGCAACACCCCCTGAGGTGGTGTACAAAACCAGTCCCACTAGGGTTTGCAAACACACAGTGCTCTCTGTTACCCAGTGAGCCGGTGGGAGACAGGGGTGTGGGGGTGGGTGTGAGGGGCGTGGCTTCACTCCCAATCTCAGGCATTTGGATACCTGGTTTAAGGGTCTCTGTGGCTGTCTTCTTCCCACTGCCCCCACGGCCCTGCTCAGACTCCCACGTTCCCTATGAAGGAAATACATCAACTCCAGGCCTAAATCGGGATACGAGAAGATGACAGAAGGCGAAGTGCCAATTTCAGGGAAAGATGTTTCAAATGCTGATGAGTGAGAATTTTCCTGAAGATCTGCAGCTGATAACCACGCTCAGAGTTTCTGCTAGAAGCTCCCTCAGCTCCCAGTCTGCGCCATGGCAGTTGGGGTCATCACATGGCACTGAGAACAACACTCACATCTGGCCGTTTCGCCGTGTCTGAGGAGGTGCCGAACGGGGCCCATTCATGCTGAGCCACACGGCAAGTGTCCCTGCACTAATACCACTTCAGTGACCGGGTGGCAGGCAGTGACTTCAAGGTGACTCGGCAGGACCCGGGAGCCAGGGCACTTCTGCCTGATCGCGTGAGCTCTGCAGCGCAGCCAGGCGCCCGCGTCTGGGAGCCGAGTCTCACGCGGCTCAGGCTCAGCCGGATGGCCAGGGGACAGGCCCTCGGTCCCACAGCACGTGCGTTACAACAGCAGAACTACCCGGACTGAACCCAGGACTGAGTTCTGCCTGACTCCAAGAGAAGAAAAAGAACGTTTACAATTAAAGTTTATGAACTGAGATGGCCACTGGGCAGACACAAAAAGAAAACCCCAGTAATGATCTCAATGGCTGGTCTGGATTAGCACCTTCGAGGTACAGCTGATCAGTCCCAAGTACCTTCTGAAACCTCGGAGTTCTCCAGCTATCTCAAGACATTCTCTGAAGTAGAGGCGCTGATCTTAAGCTCGGACATTTCTATGCTCCTGTCTAGAGTTATCTGATGTTTTCCAGAACTGATTTGATTGGAAGGAGTCTGAGGAATGAATGCTTCAGAGGCGAACCAGAACGATGTAAAAATAGTACAAAGATTCCATCACAAACAAAACTGACACCCAAACCCTACTGCTGTCAAGAATACCAATCTGTGTTTTTTCCAAGTAGGGCATTATTACGGTTTTAGATTTCAGAAGGCACAAACCATTTCCTAAGCGAAAGTATGATAT